ACCATTGAATTGGTATGGCTGTCTCTCCTGTAGTGATACAACCGTTCATTATGACGTCGAGTCCAAAGTTTCTAAGAGCATTTTAGAGTTTTTGCCTCTTAGACATCTCAAGTCTAATTCTTCAGATTCCCTTATTCGACACAGTCATTTCAACAGATTAAAAAATCTGATACGGTCTGCATGCCTTTTCCACTAGCTCTTTATCCGTTCATCTTAGAATCGCAGAGTTTTTTGAAATGGCCTCGGGTATGCGCCAAGCGCGCGACAGGCAGAAGGCATCACTTGCCCTCAGTGATTTGAACCCTGGCAAATCTGTCGCTAACATCTTCCGTCATCGGTCCTCCTCCAAGCGTGGTCATGAACTTACACCCTGTCAAATGATAACAAAGTCTTCCTCACCGATGACACTGATAGGGCGGAGTTGTTTAATGCTTTCTTTGCAAAACGCCTTAATACTGAGTCCCAACCAGTCCCTATCTTTCGTTCATTATCAGACAGGACACTGAGTACAATCGATGTCTCCTCAAATCTTATTAGAAAACACATAAGTCGTTTGAAACACTCATACTGTTCAGGAACGGATGGGATTCCAAATTCGATTATGAAACAGGCATCCGACTTTCCCGTGATGCTCAGTCGTTTATTCTCGGTTTGTATTTCAAAAGGATTCTTTCCTAAAACATGGAAAACGTCAATTATCATACCTGTCTATAAGTCTGGATCTCGGTCCAATGGTGGTAGCTATCGGGGCGTTTACAAAACACCGTCCCTAGTAAAACTCCTTGGGCGGCACGATTGTAAGGGCAAACGGAAAACAAGGCAGATTGCTTGACAGCCGTGAGGTGGCCAAAGCTCGCGTGCTCAGCCGTGGCACATTATCGACGAAAAAAGGCGCCCAGATTAGACCTGAGGGGCCGGATGGACGTCAACTGTGTGTCTGGTGGTTAGCGCGTTTGTTGAGGCCACGACATGAAGTAAGGCACCGGAGCGGCTGTTATACACGGTATTAGTGGGCACCGTGCATTGATGTTAACGCGAATGCCTGCCATTAAGCAGAGTTTTTGTGACGAACGTAATTTTCTTGAAGGAATTGAGAAGGACCTTTCTGAATTTGGTGGTCACTACGCTGACTGACGTTGTATATTTTGGGGATGTTTGCGTGAAGGCTTGTAAATGAACAAATGAGGCTGTCTTAGCCAAATCGACGATTTAAAAGGAACCTTGTCCACATATCCTGCCCCTCCGTAAACTAAAAGATAGACTCAGTTCAACCCGATACAGTTATTTTAAGGGATAAGAAGGCGAACTTCTTTGGACTCCCTGTTGTTCTCAGTAGTGTCACGAAAGACAGTACACAAGACAATCTAGGAAGAAGGGTGGTGCCTGCTCTCAAACAACAGGCATGTGATACTTGTTTAAATCGGTCAGTTTATGTATGCTGCGTCAAAATTGTGAAATTATCAGAACGGGCTACCGAAATGGTCCAAGAAACATGAACACAAACGCTTTTTCTGCAAACAGAATTTATTGGGTCGCACGCAGACGTCCAATGGGATAGTTTACGACGATGTTATAAGGTAATGTTACTTAAATATAGGTAGTAGCATGCTTTACAGCATTATTTTTTCGAGGACGATGGTCCAAGGGGAAATTTTTTGGCTTTTGATGGGTTGGTGGCACATACCCACGTACTGGTCAAGCTTCATGTTGGAGGTTTCCACAGATGAGGACATGACGACGTCCAAGGGCAGAACATTCCATGCCTTAACCACCCTACGGCTGATGAAGAATTTCCTTGCGTCCACTCTTGCCCCATTTACACGTAGTTTGAGAGGTTGTCATCCAAGACGGTAGCGGTGGCCGGATAGAAGTAGTCGTCTGACGTGAGACAACAGCCCTGACCCCGAAGCATGCAAAACCCTTGAATTAATTCTCCACATAGATTTATGAAATCCAGGGGAAAGTGGTTAATATTTGACAGTCGAGTTTCGTAAGGTAGGATATTTTGACCTCTGACAAGCCTGGTTGTCCGAGGTTGAACTTTTCGAGAGTTGTATGGTCTTTGACATGTCATCGCCTCCAGTCCTGAATGGCAAATTACATCTGTACCGCACGGACATCCCGGAGACCTTACCAAGGCCTTTTCGTTGAACTTCGCAAATGCCCGCTTGATGAGATACAAGCTGGACATTGTGGATTTTGCTACTTTCAGTCAGTGGGATGATGGTTTTACCGACGATGTTATCCATACGCCCAGATGCCTCTGAAGCTCTAATTCTGCTAGCGGCGTGTGATTTAGGCAGTCCGTCCTGCGGTGCGCACAGCTGGTTCTGCCGATTCGCAGAATGTTCCACTTGGTAGCATTGATTATGAGGAGCATGTGACTTTACCATCGGTGGAGTCGGTTCAAGCTTGCCTGACATTTGCTTTATCGTCCTCGTTTCAGATGGCGTTCCAAAGCTTTATTTCGTCAGTAAACATGACAATTCTGCAGTCTAACCTACAGACGCGGCCATTAATATATATGAGGAAGGGGATAGTGCTAACCAGAGGACCCTGAGGAACTACGTTTGCAACAATTACCTCCACTGATTGCTGGTCACCAAGACGAACAGTCTGAGATCGACCAGTCAATTATTCTTCGATCTGCATCAAAACCTTGCCTCTTATCTCTATGCGGTGGGGCTTGAACAGGAGATGGCGGTGTGGCACACTATCGAAGACCTTCCTGAAGTTTGTGTGGGCTTCGTGCACCAAGTGTCCTCCATTACCCGTACGGGCCCAGCGTCCTAGACAGAATAACAAATTAACTAATCAGGACCTTCCTCTGCGGAACCCATACTGCTGATCAGAAAGGTGATTGTGCTCCGAAGACTGCATCGGTTCGCGTCTAATAATTAGCTCCATTACTTTGCGACACATGGAGGTGAGGCCTACAGATGGGTAGTTGTTTTCGGAAGCGCGACTGCTACTTTTATATATCGGTGGAATCCATGTAGCCTTCCACTCAGGAGGCCGTTTGCCTGCATCGAAGGAGACTTCAAAGAGGAGACATTGGGGCTCTGTTAAATCTCTCGTTAGTGCCTTCAACAACTTTGTGGGTATTTCATCAGGACCTGACGATTTCGTTTCGGTTTCAGCAGTTCGTATTGATCACCAGCTTTTGTGATTACCACTGACTCACTTTTATGGACCTCATTCACCTTATCCTTATCAGCGAGTAAACCGACTGAAAGAACTTAGATAGATGCTGAGCCTTTCGTTGTCCTTGCAAAGTCCAAAGCCAGCATCCTTTTTTTAACATAGGGATGGGATACCTATTAAGGGTGATTTGCCTTGTGTAATTAAAAAACAGCTGTGGGTTTTCTCCTGCATGGTTTAAGAGGCTAATTTCAAAGTCTTGTCTGACTTTATAAACAAGACGGATGACTCTATGTCTCTGTGCACTGTAGTTATTCGTTGGTTCGATTGTATTCTTCGTGAGAAAAGCTTTCCACAGCTTTCGCTCACAGTGAACTTCTCTCATTAATGTGCCTGTTGGTGATCGTCTTGTTCGATCTAAAGCAGTATCTGATAGTGAGACCATGCGATACGGCCTTAAATTCTAACCAGTCTATGAAAACACACCCCACGAATATTGCTTTCCAGCTTACACGACGCATGTCTATTTGCAGTTCTTCAAAATCTTCGCGACATACTTTGTGTCTGACCGTGATGCATCGGTCAGGTACGGAAAAAAGAATAATCCCACTGTAGGACTACTTGGTTGTTTTTTCAGGGAGGGGGTAAATAGTTTGCTACATAGACGCCATCAGGCGCTTTCGCAAATACAGTGTCCAAACACTTCGCCAGTTGCCCTTCACCTAGTTGGGTTTGAGATGAGACGTGTTGTGTGGGATGTGATTTTTGCACTGCATGTAGTAGGGGACAACCGAGGTTGAGTTCCGATCCTTGGGTAGATTTCAGACTCCAGTCGATATTCGGAGCGTTAAAGTCGCCAAGATCATGACCTCGGGTTGGATCAAAATCACATCTAAATACTCCATCTGACTACTGCCTGGCTGCGAGTCGTACTCGGTGGACTGTTGACCGCCAGAATGTCGAGAGCTTCAGACCCCTGCGTTTGGATTTTGAGCCAAATTGTCTCAGTTTTGCGTGCGAGTTGTCCTCTTTTCCTGACAAAAGCAGACCCTATTTAACACAGGTGAGCAGATCCCCACCCTGTCCTTTCTGCACAAGTGAAAACCAGAAGGAGGGACTTTGCGATCGTCCACGTTCGCGGGAAGTTTTGACTTACGTAATTCTTATTTGACGCATTTTGTCCCCGGTACGAAGCTGAAGAAGGCAAGAAGGGCAGGATTTATTGGTACCAAAAAAAATCGCCATGGCTCTTCAGCATCGTCCTGACGCTTCATAAGAGAGATAACGCGTGGGATGAATACAACAGATATGAATTCGTGCAGAAAATGAATGCAGAAACAGCAAGGTCAGGGTTTTGGACAAAGCTGGCTAATCGATTAAGTTATCAAAAGAAGAGGGGGCGTTCACCGGGAGGGGTTTATTTGAGATCCGACGTTTCGGGTAGTTTATTCGTCTACCCATCTTCAGGGACTGGGAGGTCCTGTGCACAGCACTCCTTATTATGGCGTCCTTTGTCCAATGCGTGATTCGCCAATGCCGCCTGTGTGGCTGCATCCAACCCGCATGTCACCGTGACCTGAGTCGCCCCCGTCGGCCGCGGTGATGACTGACGGCCCCGATTGTCCCGCACCGTGACTGTCGCCCGCTAAGAAGGTTCGTAAAGTCAGATGAGGGGGAGGCAAATTGATGTGGCGGTTGACAAAGCGGTCGGTGGACATTCAGGCTTCTTGCACTTGCCTTGCTGTGTGATCGCTGCCCCGTCCCACAATCTCAACGGCGTCACAGTTGAAGATGTGTCACATTTGCGCGGCATGGGTTGCTACCTCCGACTTTGGATCCAACCTTCGCACGGCCAACGTATGCTCGTGCATTCGCGTTTGCAGCCGTCGGCCGGTTTCCCTAACGTAGTTGCAACTTCCGAAAAAAAGGACCTTCTTCGACATCAAGTCTCTTCACTTCTCATGTCGCACCGGAAAACCCATTCCCTGCTAAGAGATGAACAAAAGGCCCTAAGGGAGCTGAAAGCGGACACCGAAATAGTTATTCTGCCTGCTGACAAAGGCCGGTCAACCGTCATTCTCGACAAGGTGGACTACCGACTCAAAGCCCTCCTGCTCCTCAACGATCGAGAGTCCTACAAAGTCAGCGACACCGCCGGTCTAAAGTCCCTAGTGGCAAAGGTTAACAGAATTCTTGCTCGACTAAAAAAGGACAAGGTCATCACTGTCAAAGACTGGTATATGGCAAAGCCCACAGAAACCGCTATGGCGAGATTCTATGATCTCCCTAAAGTTCACAAGCCAGATATTCCCCTCCGTCCTCTCGTCTCACTCCGAGGCACACCCACATAGGGGCTTGCAAGCTGGCTATTTCAGAAGCTAAGATTCCTAACTGCAGGCTCACAAACAACGGCGCACTCAGCAGAACAATTCCTTCACAAAATAAGGACAGTCACGATCGAACCGAATGAAAGGATGGTATCTTTTGACGTCGTCTCACTATTCACGTCCATACCACAGGCCCTTGCGGTCGAAACGCTCAGTGACCTGCTACGTCAAAATTACGACGGGGGCGATGGCCAAGCCACAGCTGAAGATCTCATAGAACTCATGGGGCACTGCCTCAAGACATTCACTACCTTCGAAGGGACCGCATAGGAACAGATCAAGGGCACTCCAATGGGTTCACCAATCTCCGGACTCATTGCCGAGGCGGTTCTACAAAAACTCGAGAGACGACTATTCGGGGAGTACAAACCCAGGTTTTGGGCACGCTACGTTGATGACACCTTCGTAATCATAGACCAGGATAAAATCAACTACTGTGCGGAAGTACTGAGCTCAATCATGCCCGATCTACAGTTCACGATGGAAGAGAAAGTAGAGGACAAACTTCCATTCTTGGATGTTCTCGTCTGCCGCCAACCAAATGGCGAACTAGAGACGTCGGTCTACATAAAACCGACGAACACGCTGCAAATTCTCAGCTACAACAGCAACCACCCGCCACAACACAAACGAAGCTGTGTCTGCACGCTGTACTGACGGGTGGAAACTCATTGCAACACGCCAGCCGCCAAATTGAATGAGACAAAGCTCCTCCGAGAACTTTTCAGAGCCAATGGCTATCCGCAGGCATTTATTGAACAAAGCCGGAGGCAGCCAAAGAAACGGAACGAGGAGCATAGTCAGCCAAACTCATGGCGGAGCATTCCGTACATTAAAGGGATCTCCGAAGTCGTGGCTCGATCACTCGAGCCACTCGGAATAGGTGTTGCCCACAGGCCTGACTCAACAATCCGCCGGCAAGTGATGCGGCCGAAAGATCCGATCACTAAGCAAGAGATGTCGGCCGTTGTCTACCGACTTCAACGCAGCTGCGGAAGTTGCAACTACGTTAGGGAAACCGGCCGACGGCTGCAAACGCGAATGCACGAGCATACGTTGGCCGTGCGAAGGTTGGATCCAAAGTCGGAGGTAGCAACCCATGCCGCGCAAATGTGACACATCTTCAACTGTGACGCCGTTGAGATTGTGGGACGGGGCAGCGATCACACAGCAAGGCAAGTGCAAGAAGCCTGAATGTCCACCGATCGCTCTGTCAACCGCCACATCAATTTGCCTCCCCCTCATCTGACTTTACGAACCTTCTTAGCGGGCGACAGTCACGGCGCGGGACAATCGGGGCCGTCAGTCATCACCGCGGCCGACGGGGGCGACTCAGGTCACGGTGACATGCGGGTTGGATGCAGCCACACAGGCGGCATTGGCGAATCACGCATTGGACAAAGGACGCCATAATAAGGAGTGCTGTGCACAGGACCTCCCAGTCCCTGAAGATGGGTAGACGAATAAACTACCCGAAACGTCGGATCTCAAATAAACCCCTCCCGGTGAACGCCCCCTCTTCTTTTGATATGCCACCTGGGAATCGGATTTTCACTACTATCGATAAAGTTATTAACACAAACACCGTAGCGGAAGAAAGTGAAAAAAGGGGAACGTTAAAGGGGAAAAATAAGAGGGGAGAGGGGGATTCATGGAGGTAGAGGCTACCATGGCAATGTTAGGTTAACCACGTGCTCCAATTGTTTACAGAGATCTGGTTGCACTCGTCGTATATAGGCCGCCTCCAGGTAACGCTATGTCCGATTTGTTTGTGCCCGAACAAGTACTCGGAAGGAAGTTTGGGGGTCGACGGAGTGACCAGTATCATGAAGGTGTTTCGTAATGGAGGAACGCGGGATCTTATTTTCTTGTCTTAGGAGCCACTTGGACATACAATGCAGCCGAACTTGTATTATGCAGTCCTACTAAGCCACTTCCAATTTCACGGGCAAAGGATGCCCTGCCAATGCACGCCACTTCAAATTGTGTTTATGAATTCACATGCACTTGCGGATGCAAGTACATTGGGCGAACGCAAAGGCAGTTGGCAGCCAGGTCTATTGAGCACCTGTCCAAGTGGCTCCTAAGACAAGAAAATAAGATCCCGCGTTCCTCCATTACGAAACACCTTCTTGATACTGGTCACTCCGTCGACCCCAAAACTTCCTTCCGAGTACTTGTTCGGGCACAAACAACTCGGGCATTGCGTTACCTGGAGGCGGCCTATATACGACGAGTGCAACCAGATCTCTGTAAACAATTGGAGCACGTGGTTAACCTAACATTGCCATGGTAGCCTCTACCTCTATGAATCCCCCTCTCCCCTCTTATTTTTCCCCTTTAACGTTCCCCTTTTTTCACTTTCTTCCCCTACGGTGTTTGTGTTACAAACTTTATCGATTAGCCAGCTTTGCCCAAAACCCTGACCTTGCTGTTTCTGCATTGATTTTCTGCACGAATTAAAATCTGTTGTATTCTTCCCACGCGTTATCTCTCTTATGAAGCGACAGGACGCAGCTGAAAAGCCATCGCGAAATTTTTTGGTCCCAATAAATCCTGCCCTTCTTGCGTAATTCTTGTTATCGTCTTATTTACATAGCAGACTTTGCACATTCGTTCGAAAATATTTCAGTCTTTTGCCTTTGGTTAGCTGACGATGCTGCCACCCTTATTGTCTGCTTTAGTGGTGCAGACATACGCACGGGACGAGTCCATAAATACCGGGAGTGTCTCTCAATTATGCGGTCGTTCGCCACTCCTCTGTAGCAGTCTAAGCTCCTTTACTAAATGCCGGCGTTTTCGCCGCCTCTGTGGTGCATAATGCGACGAAAAAATACTTGGGGAACATATTTTACTTCATAACGTCTTGCGAGGATGAGACTCGCAGCAATTTAAAGGGCCCAGGATGCGGTGGGACGGTGGGTTCAGAAATGCGCGTTTCGAGCCTGAAGGCCTTGAATACTTAATCACTGAGTTAAGAAGACTTTGGAACAAGCCAAGGTATGTTAGAGTGCGTTCCTTAGATGCGTATGCCACATGAAGCCCCTGTATTACCAGAAACTGTTCTCGGAACGGCCTGTCCTTGATACTCGATGATTGTAATTTAGGAGTTTCTGTCGAATCTTTCATAACGATGTTCTGGTCGTCATCCACTTCGGGGAACTTCTCTTGAACTAATAACATAACGCATCGCAACTGCGCACGTTTGGAGCATATAAGTGCTAGATTACCGTCTTCCCCATGTTGGTGTCTGTTTGCTGTCGGAGCAGTTCTAAGCGAAGACACCCTTACTCTTCTGCTAGTCCATTGCCGTTATGGTACTTAGTGTGGATTTTGATCCTGAGTATCCTCGAAACCCCTTCTAGACGACGAATTTTTAGCTATTTTCCGTTGTTTCGGCAGTCAGTGTCTATTCCCGGCTGCTCTCTATTGTAAGCGGCCATAAGCATGACGGAGAACATGCAAATAAACAGGAGGGGAGCAAGTTCCCAACCCTTCTTCGCCCCAACGGTCACCATGAACAATTTAGGTATTACACATTGTCAGGGACGGTTGTCATCACCCCATGGTGAAATTGCCCCACCATTAGCACTAAGTGCTCCGGTCATCCAAATTTAAGCATTATTTTCCAGAGCTAATCACGGCCGACTGGGTTAGTGGCCTTCGCTAAACCGAAGAGTCAGAAATTGGTCTTTACCTCTTAAAATTTTCGCTTTAATGTGCGACTGCAAAGATCACGTGGACTGTCCGGCGGCTCCAGTGAAATCCTCACTGGCTTTTTTGGAGAAGTCTCAATCCCTGGCGCATGTCCAGACGGCTGAGAACGAGGTGGAGAAGGTTTCCTCGGTGATTTTGAGTAGCGAGATGCTTCTGTGGAATTTAGACATTTCATTTCACAGGGCAAGAGAATTATGACGCTATTGGTGTCTATTAGCAGTTACAAGATTCTCTTAGTCTTTTCTCTTGCGAAACTTATAAAACTAATATTCTCAAATTCAACATTGGACATTTTAGAAAAAAATTATGAGCCCAGAACGGGGCATTTATAAAGAACTCCAGAAACTTAAAAGTAAGGGAGAGGTCAAGGAAACCGCACTTTCAAAATCGCCAGGAAAATACTTCTCCCATAAAAGATATGGAAGTGTACGGTAGATTCTTCCCGAGAACATGGTTAGACTATAAAAGCAAGTCACGAAGTAAGAACGACGTTTTTTATAGAGAGCTCTGAGATGCGGTGTGGTGGCATACCAAGGGTGAAACCTACAAAGGAGGTGAGGCCTCCATACCTCAGTGTCTGCAATGGAATCCGGAAGAGGATTGGCGTCAATTAACACAGAGTCCGTTTAGAACGTACGCGTCAATATTATCCGGGTTATTTGTCTGAGGGGAGGGTAGACGAGGACTTCGTGTTTTATGAAGGTCACGGTGCACGGACTGGAAAAGTCGACATTTTCGCCGAGAGATCATGACAAACAAAGCCACGAATGGAGGGGAAAATATGAACGGATAAGGTAATTTGGTGGCGATGTCGTACATTCCTGGTGGTTTATTTGAAATACCGGAAAAAGCTGCTTGCGAAAGACGCGGAAAATAAAGGTCCGATGAATTCAGTGTTAAGATAAATGTTCTGCCTTCCCTTTACAGGCGTTAGACTACTTATTGATCTAATATCAATCTTCGGGATATTTAAAGTAAAGTACACCTGGTAACAGAGAAGAAAGAACATTTTGAATTGGGACAGGTAGGGAATGTATTATCAAGAAGGCAATACGAAGGTTTTGTGGATGACTAACAAATAAGGACGGAAATCCGGGAAAGGGGACATCAGCCAGCTTCTAGTTTACGAACCCATATGAATTTTAAGTTGGCCAGGTGGCATCCATCTAAGTGGGAATTATTTAAAATTGAAGTGCTTAGGAGTTCTCCAGCAACATGTCTTTGGACATTCCTAATTTCAGAGCGAC